GAGAGAGAGAGAGAGAGAGAGTGAGTGAGTGAGTGTGAGAGAGAGAGAGAGTGTGTTTGTGCGAGTGTGTGAGTGAGTCTGCGACTGTGAGTGTAAGAGTGAGTGAGAGAGAGAGAGTGAGCGTGAGAGAGAGAGTGAGTGTTTGTGTGTGTGTGTGTGTGTGTGCGAGTGTGTGAGTGAGTGAGTCTGCGACTGTGAGTGTAAGAGTGAGTGAGAGAGAGAGAGCGAGTCAGCGAGTGAGCGAGTGTGTTTGTGTGCACGTGTGTGTGAGTGACTAACCGCTCCTTCTGTGCTGCAGGTGCCTGTAGCTAATGAGAGTCAGTCTGTGGTGCAGCAGCAGTACCAGCAGCCCGTCATGGTTCCCGCCAGTCAGTCTGTACAGGGAGCCATGCCGACCGCGGCACCCATGCCCGTCTACTACAGCGTACTGACGCCCACACAACAGAACAGCACAAGGTACACACACGCTAATATCTCAGCACGCGCGTCACGTGTTTACTGTCAGATAATGTCAGAAGTGCTGGAAGAATGTGCAGTTTTACTACTGTATGCAACTGAGTATCGACTCTAACTTGACACAAAACGTATTAGTTATATGCTGTATTATTGTTTTTGTGCTAATTCTGCTCTGATTATTTAAATACATTATTTAATCTGTTATTAGAAATATCTCCTTCAAGTAGCTTCAATAGCTATGTTTCCATCCACGTTTTTTTTTTGTGAATTTTGAGATGCTGCTTTAAAAAACTCTGAATGGAAATGTCAAGATGTGCATAAAAACTTGAGATGAGAAAACATGCATAAACTACTATAGAGAAACGCATAGTGACACGTGTTTTTGTTTGTTTTATTAATGTTTTATATTTAGTGTAAATGCATGTTTTGATGTTGTGTTTATGCTAAGTTCTACTTTAAATACATGATTTAAAGATATTATTAGTAATATGATTTGAAATCTCCTAAGTAGCTTCAATAGCTGTGTTTCTATCCATGTATTGCTTCGAGTATTGTGGGGTATTGCATTTTTTTTGTGTGCAAGATGCACATAAAATCTTAAAGTGCGCATAAAAACTTATGCTCTTAATTGAGGTGCATAATTGTTTTATTCAGCAAGAAAATGTGCATTAACTACAATGGAGAAACATATAGAGCAGCGGTGGCGAACTCAGCCGCAACCCTGCAGAGTACAGCTCCAACCCTAATTAAAACTCACCTGCCTGTAGCTTTCTAGTAACACTTCAGACCTTGATTAGCTTGTTCAGGTGTGTTTGATTAGGGTTGAAGCAAAACTCTGATATAGAGTGGCAAGTGTAAATATATGTTTTGATGTTGTGTTGTTGTTTTTATGCTAAGTTCTGTTTAACCGTGTGCTTTTGTGTGTTTCAGTCCATCTGTGGGTTACTTGCAGCCTCCCAGTTCAGATCAGTACCAGATGACCCAGTCTGCGTCACCCTGCAGCCCACAGCCAATGCAACAGCAGTATTCAGGTTCAACACACACAACCCACAGCAGCTACAGCCTTGCTACTGTTAACTACAGCTGATATATATATGTATATACATACATATTGCATTGGCAACGAAGTTAAATGTGTTTAAGTAAAGCTAAAACTAAATTAAAAAAAAACTTAAGTTAAATACAAATAAAAATAAATAAATTTATAAATACTCTAATAGTATAAAATTTGTGCTAATCGCATACAAAACAAAAGTTTTCGTTTACATATGTGTGTACTGTGTATATTTATTATGTGTATATATAAATACAAACACATGAATGTATATATTTAAGAAAATGTTATGTTCATATATTTATATATTATATAAATGTATATACATGTAAATATTTTCTATATATACTGAATGTGTGTGTGTGTGTATTTATATATGCATAATAAATAAACACAGTACACATACATATATTATGTAAACAAAAACTTATTTTGGATGCGATTAATCGTTTGACAGCACTATATAAAATACTATACTAATACTATATTCAATACTAAAATAATACTGAATACCATGATCGGTTATGATGCATATAAACAGTTATATAAAATACAATTTGCACATGATTTACCCGTCGTGCATCAGTAAATATCTGCAGTATCAGCCCAATAAACTTACCAGTATTTAACTCATTGAGCTGTAGGTTGCATTAGTTATCATATCTCTCAGTCTGGTTTATTTTGTATTGGGAGTGACTGACCCGTTGATGTGGCTGTGTTGTAGGGGTTCCTCCTCCTGGTCCTGGTGTGATGGTAATGCAGCTCAGCGTCCCGACTTACCAGTATTTAACTCATTGAGCTGTAGGTTGCATTAGTTATTATATCTCTCAGTCTGGTTTATTTTGTATTGGGAGTGACTGACCCGTTGATGTGGCTGTGTTGTAGGGGTTCCTCCTCCTGGTCCTGGTGTGATGGTAATGCAGCTCAGCGTCCCGAACGGACCGCAGCCGACCCAGAATCCTCCTCTGGTGCAGTGGAACCCCTGCAAGTACTACAGCATGGAGCAGAGACCCAGCAACCCCGAGCCGCAGGTAACGGCACTAGGAAAAACTACATTTGAATTTTGTATTGAAATATTATCAATATTCGAATTTAAAAGGCATAATTTCAGTTAGGGGGGAAAAAAGCTTTTGGCTTCTCTCCTGAGGCCACAAGAGGGCGCATCGAGCAAAATATTACTAATGCACGTTTATTCAAAGCAATAAAATAACATGACTATCTTTGAAAAAAGTGCATAATGTTTAAAATAATGTTTATAAACCACATATATAATTAATTAAGTTGCTTAAACAATTAGAAACAAAACTGCATCATGTATGTATGCATAGTTTAATACAAAGGACAGAAAAACAATCACAAATAATACTTTTTTATTTAAAAACATAAGATGCAGTGGGATGGTGAAAAACCGCCATAAAGTCTTGAGACGTGTTTTTTAAAAGTTTAACTTACATTAATATTACATGGCTTTCTAAACATGCGGCTCTTTTGTGCGAGACGCGAGTGCAACGCTGATAGATGTCCCTCTAGAAAATGTGATAAATATGCGTTCTGTGTGAACGGCTTGGTTTCAGGTTTGATGTAAACAACAACATCTCCGCATTGATGTTCTCTTTTTCCGCAATATTTTGAATGAACAACGCAGCAGCGCCATCTAGTGGCTTCAACTGGATAGGTTAAAAAAAGCATTAAAATGCAACGACACTTACATCGTCATCTCGTGCGCCACTGATAAGCTGCCTGACGCACACCTAAAGGTTTTTACATTCGAATGTCGATTTATATTTTAAATTAGATGAATATTCTAAATGCACTTTTTAGTTTTTTTTTTGGACTTGCTTAAATGGTACACGCATTATAGCTGGCTACAGCTGCAAATGCTTTTGCTCCATCATGGAGACTCAGACTCAGCATCGTGTGTGTGTGTGTGTGTGTGTGTGTGTGTGTAGGTCAGCACTCAGCTCAGCAGTCCGCTGGCGTCTCCCACACAGTCTCCGGCTCCCTCTCCGTCTGGCACCGTGTGTCCGGGTCTCGGCCCGCTGCCTCTCATCTCACAGTTTCCTCGGCCCGGCGGGCCAGCACAAGGTACACACACACACATTTACTTCATTTAATATCATCCAAGTGGATGCTGCACACTGGTGGAGGTTGAGGAGAGACCCCCCCCCCCATGATTGTAAAGCGCTTTTGGGTTGTCCGGGTCTCGGCCCGCTGCCTCTCATCTCACAGTTTCCTCGGCCCGGCGGGCCAGCACAAGGTACACACACACACATTTACTTCATTTAATATCATCCAAGTGGATGCTGCACACTGGTGGAGGTTGAGGAGAGACCCCCCCCCCCATGATTGTAAAGCACTTTTGGGTGTACAACAATACACGATAAAGCGCTATATAAATGCATCATTCATTCACACACACACACACACACACCATGTTTTATGGGGACTCTCCATAGGCGTAATGGTTTAAACAAAATGATTATTGGCTCTTGTCTGGGGGGGGGGCAGTGCCCTAAACTCCGCCTATGACCCTAACCCTAAACCTACCCCTTACAGAAAACTTGTTTGCATCGTTACACTTTCAGATAAACAACATTTACTATTTTTAATAAATTTTTTCCCTCGTTTTTTCCCACAATGTCAAAAATTTCAGGTTTTACTATCCTTGTGGGGACATTTACTCTCTCACACACACACACACACACACACACACACATATATATATCCTAACTTGTTGATTTTTTTTAATTAAATTTTTTTTAAATACATTTTTCATTATATTTTGTTCTAATATATTATAATAAACATACATATATATATATATATATATATATATATACACCGTATATATTTATGTGTGTCTTATTAATAGTGGCTATACTGAATGTTATCTGGTGTGAAGCTGTCCTGCTTGTAATGTGCCATAGAAATAGAGCTATGTGACAACCAATAGGAAGCTTTGCTGTTTGAGATTCACCTGGACCGGATTCATTGTTGGATTGTTTTCCTGGTTTTCTTATGATTCAAAATACCAGCTTATATCTAGTCTTCAAACTCACTCATGACATCATGATGAGCTCTGGACCCACGGTGACCGTGTGTGTGTGTGTGTGTGTGTGTGTGTGTGTGTGTGTGTGTGTGTGTGTGTGTGAGCGTGGGCGCGTGTGTGTGTGCGGGCGGTCTCCTCCTCCCATCATGCACAACCACAACCAGTCCTCCTACAGCTCCCATCAGGTACAGCCCTGTGTGTGCGCGTGAGTGTGTGAGCGTGTGAGCGTGTGAGCGTGTGTGTGTGTGTGTGTGTGTGTGTGTGTGTGTGAGCGTGTGTGTGTGCGTGTGTGAGCATGCGTGTGTGAGAACGTGCGTGTGTGAGAGTGTGTGTGTGTAGAAACACACTTGTAAAAAATACTTATCCCAGTTTAATTATTTCCCCCAGTTGCACAGTGTAAATTGTGAATTGCATGCACCAAAAAAGTTGACAGAATGCACTTTCTGTACTTGTTTTGCGTTACTTCAGTTACATATGCATGTATTCATTTAATGCAAAGCTTGATCACTTGGTATAGATTTTTTTAACTGCTTAAATTTGCACTAAACATTTTGTATTTACTTTGTAACAATAACTTCTATCTAAATAGTTTTTGTTGTTTTTTTTAATGGGGGCAAAATAAATTGTTTTTGTATTATTTAAAAGCAAATGCAAACATATCGAGATATATATCAAATATCGTAAAAAATTTACAATATCTAGATATAATTTTTTTTATATATATCGCCCAGCCCTAATTCAGACTAGTATTTTTTTTTTTGTAATATTCTTGTCACTAAGGTTATAAATTCAAAATGTTATTTTCATAAAGTGTGATATTAAGCAAACGAGAAGGAGTGGCACTACTAGTTTTTCAAAGCACTACCGTTTCATAGTTAATTCTATGTGCAAGAACATTGAGCCACTGTCTGATCCATGATTCCTCATGTATCTCCATCTCTCCATCTGTAGTTGTTCACAGTGTGTCTGTGTGTTTCTCAGAGTCAGGGAGTGATGAAGCACGGAGCGCGGGGGAAAAGACAAACGCTCAAATCTGCCTCTACAGACCTGGGCACTACTGACGTGGGTAAGAGACCAAACACAAACTCCTGACCCGAGTCTTTCTGCTCATTTAAAGTAGGGGTGTGCACGAATAATCGAACATTCGGTCTGTAATTATTATTCGAACAATAAGAACACTATTCGAATTTTACTATGTGTTGATTTGCTGGCCGTAAATGCAGGGAATCCATGATAAATCCTAAGCAGTTATAACTAAATGCACTGGGTGGCGCTTTGGAGCGTGTTAACAATATATAGCGTGTTTATAACATATGTAAAGGTTCCTCGAGGGAGAGTGGTTTAACACAAAGCGGTAAGAACCAAAACATACCGTCATGTACCGTGAAACCGGTATAATTTTGAAAAATACCGTGATATAAATTTTTGTTCATATCACCCAGCACTAATTCTACCCATGATAAACTGTGGTGTTAAAGGCTTAGTTCACCCAAAAATGAAAGTTCTGTCATTAAGTACTCATCCTCGTGTCGTTCCAAACCTGTAAGACTTTCGTTCATCTTCAGAACACAAATTAAGATATTTCTGATGAACTCCGAGAGCTCTCTGATCTTCATAGACAGCAAGGATCCTAACACGATCAACGCACAGAAACATAGCAAGGACATCGTTAAAATAGTCCGTGTGACATCAGGGGTTCAACCGTAATTTTACGAAGCAGCGAGAATACTTTTTGTGTGCAAAGAGTACCCCAGAATGTAATCAGCGTTGTTTACGTTCAGCATGGAAGACGGCAACTCTGGGAGAAGAATTGTTGAATGAATTGTTATTATTGTTTTCTTTGCACACAAAAAGTATTCTCGTTGCTTCGTAAAATTACGGTTGAACCCCTGATGTCACACGGATTATTTTAACGATGTCCTTGCTATGTTTCTGTGCGTTGATCGTGTTAGGATTCTTGCTGTCTATGAAGATCAGAGAGCTCATCAAAAATATCTTAATTTGTGTTCTGAAGATGAACGAAGGTCTTACGGGTTTGGAACGACGTGAGGACAGAGTAATTAATGACAGAATTTTTATTTTTGGGTGAACTAACCCTTTAACTCTAGTGTGATCTCTGCGTGTCTCCCTCTAGTGGTGAGTCGGGTGCTGGAGGTGACCGACCTCCCCGAGGGCATTTCTCGTCCGGAGGCCGATAAGCTCTTCAACCAGCTCTCGCTCTGCGGCGCCAAGATCCAGTGGCTGAAGGACCCTCAGTGTCCCCGGGGCCCCGGCGGCGGACGGGGAGACGCCAGGGACCCCGCTAACCTCTACACCGTGGTGGCTGTGTTCCCCAACACAATGGCGGCCCAGAGCGCCTCCTTCAAACTCAACAACAGCGGCGGGAGTTTGTTCAAACTGCGCGCCACCAAAAAGAACTATGACTTGCGCGTGCTGGAGCGAGCGAGCTCGCAGTGAGTCGGGAGAGAGAGAGGAAGTCGGAGATGTCAAAGGGAAGAGATCATCCTGGTGTTCCTTTGGGATCTTTTTTATTGTTTTGTATCATTAACCGAAGAGCACATATGACACAGAAGCGTGTTGCGTTGTGTGTATCGTATGACGCACTCACACACACACACACACACACACACACACCCATAAACACAAGCGGACGTCTTAAAGGGACAGTTCAGATGAAAATGAAATGATTTACTCACTTTCATGGCGTTCCAAACCTGTATGAATTATTTTCTTCATACACGCAATGTATGAACATGCAAGCAGATATTTTTGAAGAACGTTGCTAACACATTTTCAGTTCCTGTTGACTTTATGAAAATACTGTGGAAGTCAATGCGTACCAAAACTTTTAATTTAGTTTTATGCTTTTTTTGCGTGTGTGTTCTGCCAAAAAGAAGGAATTCATACAGGTGTGGAACGACATGAAGATAAGTGAATAATGGCACAATTTTCGTTTTTGGGAAACTTCCCCAAAATTTTAATTCTGTCATCATTTACTCATCTTCATGTCTTTCCAAATCTGTTTGACTCACTTTCTTCTGTGGAACATTCAAGCAGATATTTTGAAGAACGTTGGTAAACAAGTATTTTCATGAACGTATTGACTATGGAGGTCAGTGGGTACCAAAACGTTTTAATGACCAACGTTTCATTTCCAGCTATTTTATGCTTTTATTGTGTGTGTGTGTGTGTGTTCTGCAGAAAAAAGAAATTCAATACAGGTGTGGAACGACATGAAGGTAAGTGAATAATGACACCGTTTTCATTTTTGGGCAAACTGACTCTTTGAAGGGATAGTTTGCCCCAAAAATAAAATTCTGCCATCATTTACTCTCATTCATGTCGTTCCGAACTTGTATGGCTTCATTTCTCCTCTGAAACATAAAAGAAGATATTTTGAAGAACGTTGGGAATCAAACAGTCTTGGTTCCCATTGACTTCCATTCTATGGAAATACAATGGAAGTCAATGGGAACCGGGAATGCTTGTTTGCCAGCATTTTTTATATCCTGCTTTTGCGAAAGAAAGAAATGTTTACAGGTGTGGAACGACATGAAGGTGAGTAAATGATGACAGATTTTTAATTTTTAGGCAAGCTAAAGGGACAGTTTATCCCAAAGTTAAAGTTCTGTCATCATTTACTCACATTCAAGTCGTTCCGATCCGATTTTTCTTCTGTGGACTATAGAAGATATTTTGAAGAATGTTGGGAATCAAACCAGTTCCCATTGACTTGCATTACAATATATGGAAATACAATGAAAGTCAATGGGGACCAAAAATGTTTGCCAGCGTTTTTCACATCATGCTGCTTTTGAAGAAAGAAATGCATACATGTATGTAATGACATAAATGATTACATAAATGTTTGGGTGAACTATCCCTTTAAAAGGAGAGTTCAGGCTTAAATGAAGATCTTGTCGTTCCTTCATGTCGTTCCAAACCTGTTTGACGTGGAGCTCAAACTGAGAGTTTACTCTAGAAAATATATCAAGCACTGAATTATATTACAAAAAGATCCATATGAGCAAAAGTTGGTGATGTTTGACATCATATAGTCGATATGACTCTCATAAAGCCTCGTATGACTTCAGAAGACTTGAGAAGAATATAAACGCAGCTCATTTTATGGTACTTTGCTCTCATTTGTGGAGCTCGACAGCTTTACGTGGGCAAATAAAGCTCAGATGTTCTTCCAAAACGGAAGAAACGAAGTCAAGCAGGTTTGGTGTGGAAACGCTGAAAGAATGGCTCGTTTAATCTGAACTGTGTCTTTAACGCGCCGTCGAAGCCTCGTCTCGGTCCGTCTCTCTTCCTCTGGCTCTCTCTCTCTCTCACGTTGTTCACTTTGGATTTCTTCCTCTTTCACTTTCTAGCGTTTCTTGCTTTCTGTTTTGCCTTAACGCTGTTGTGAACTTCTGTATGCGCTGTTTATTTTCTCTCTCTCTCTCTCTCTCTCTCTCTCTCTCTCTCAGATGAATCTTCTTTTCTCGGTTCAGTATATTTATATAAGTGATGTAAGGATTATCAGAAATAATCTATATATTCCGTGATTCTTTTCCCGTGGATAAGTTGAAGCTCCTTTGCTCCTCCTCTTCTCGTTGTGTTTGCGTTTTTCCGTGGACAGCTCTGCAGAAAGTATCCGAGGTATTTAAAAGTGCACAATGATTGCGAATGTCTACTGTAAATTCCATTTAATCTGTTATTTTTTCTTTGTTTTTAAAAATATAAAAGATAACTCAAAAACTGCTGCAGCGTTTGGGTTTGTGAGTTTGCGTCAGGTCTGTGTGAATGTCAGCGTGTTCGTCGCATCAGAAATATTATTCATGTTTCTCATTTATATAACAGACATATGTGACCCTGGAGCACAAAAGCAGTCATAAGGGTATATTTTTTAAATTGAGATGTATACATCATCTGAAAGATGAATAAAGTAGCTTTCCATTGATGTATGGTTTGTTAGGATAGGACAATATTTGGCTGAGATGCAACTATAAAAAAAAACATGCTCCTTTTAGACTTGCACTCTGTTCATTTCAACTGCTTGTTTTCTTAAAAACTAAACTAACACTAGCTTCTCTACTCTTTTTGTATTCTATATGTTTGTTTTCTTTTTATTTATTATACAATTAACAAAAAGGCCTCTAGCTTGCTCTATTTGTATGTTCTATCTGTTTTCTTTTTATTATAGAATTTAAAGAAAAAGCACTGTTAGGCTAACTGAGACTTGTTATAGCACTTGCATATCATTGCTCTTTTGTTGATTTTGATTGCTTGCATTGTAAATCGCTTTGGATAAAAGCGTCTGCTAAATGACTAAACGTAAACATAAAATTACAATTCCTAGCACTTTCCACAAATAGGCTACACATTTAGTTCTATTAAAGCAGCTAAACAACATGTTTAGTTTGTTAAAAGTAATGAAGTTCATTTAAATGATTGAGGCAGTATTTTCTTTAATTTGTGGGTATGCAAGTTACACAAACTAAAAACTAAATCACACACACACAAAACACTTTGATGTTAACTAGAAATATTCATTAATATGCTTATTTGATGCATAATGAAATCACACAATCCAGGGTTTAAACTTCATCCAGATTTGAACAGTCTGAGAAGGACACGCAGCACTTTCTGAAGGCCAAGTATTTTTGCAAAAGAACAAAAATGAGTTTGATCATTTTTATTCTTGTGTTTAAGAGCCTCCTGATGATGAGTTAATGCTGAATGGACTCATTATCATGCACTTTTTTTTTTCTTAAGTAGGATTAATTAGTTATTTTTATTTCTATTGTATCTCACAAAAGTTTTTTTTTTCCTCTTTCCAAAAATGTTTTAGGAGTTACATATCTCAATTGTGTCTCTTTTATGTATTTCTTTATTTTTAAAATATTCTTGTAAAAATAGAACTTTTGACCGTGGCTTGTGTTTGTGCTTTGTGTTCTTTAGCGCCCTCTTCTGGTTGATCAGAGCTCTGCAGGCGTCGCTGTGAGGATGAGGATGAGCCAGTATGATGCTCTTCCTCACTCTCCTCTTTCAGGATTCCTGCTATCACTCAAATACAGACCAACAGTTTAATTCTAGCCATTTAACATCAACTAATAAACGTAAACATCACTGAAACAGGTGAGAACTGGTAATAAACTGAATGTGTTTTAAATACACAATAATCAAGTTCATATTTTTATCATCAATAAATCCGATCAGTTTCAGTCTCATACATTTAACTGAATGTGACTTGTTCCACAGCTAGACGGAGAATGTTCTCAAATGTTCTCTCAAAGTTATGAACATGTTATTCCAGTAACTTTAATAAAACATTCATTCAAAGTTATTTGGTCACAAAAATGCTCATGTTCATGGACTTTTTAAATATTCAACGCTTTTTAAATATTACTATTTGTTTCAGAATGTTCAGAGAACATTCAAAAGTAACATTTTGCAAAATGATCAAATGAAATGTTCCCTTAACGTTCATATACCCGAGTTTTTAAAACATTTTTTAAACACTGGACATTTTTAACAGCATTCAGAAATAACACTGGCAACGCTTTACTTAAAGCCTTGTGTAATGCATTATAAAGCTATACATAATGTATGTTGTAATGCATTCTATCTAATCATAAATAATTCTAACCAAAGTTAAGATGCAAAAGGTTTGTTTGTCGTTAATGCGTTTTTCTTTCTTAATGTTTTATAGCTGCTGTTACAATTATACAGTGCATTATAAGGTGCTTTACAAGGCACAATTAATGCATTTAAACTACTTTTATAATGCATTACATATAAAGGCTTTAAGAAATGTGTTACCATAACATCTTCAGAACTTAATTCTTAGAACATATTTTTTGTTTATATTTTACATTTATACTTTTTAGTTGAATAAATGTAACTTTTCCCAAAGAACAGATTGCCAATTCTGACCAATCTGAATAAATGCGTTTGGAAAATACAATTGTTTGAACTAAATCAATGAATAATAAACTATGCCATAATTTATTTATTTTTTTGGCAGAAATCTGACCTGTTTCATTCATATATGATTATATGTCATCTGAAAGCTGAATAAATAAGCTTTCCATTGGTGTATGGTTTGTTAGGATCGGACAATATTTGAAAATCTGGAATCTGAGGGAGCAAAAAAATCTAAATATTGAGAAAATCATCTTTAAAGTTGTCCAAATGAAGTTCTTAGCAATGCATATTACTAATCAAACATTAAGTTTATGGTAGGAAATGTACAAAATATCTTCAAGGAACATGATCTTTACTTAATATCCTAATGATTTTTGGCATAAAAGAGAAATGTATAATTGTGACCCATACAATGTATTGTTGGCTATTGCTACAAATATACCTGTGCTGCTTATGACTGCTTTTGTGCTCGAGTCACATATGGCCGTAGTGAAGCCATAACTTGTGTAGTTGTACTTCTCAGGTAGGTGGAACTTGTTTTAGCTGTATTTGGACATATTTATTTGGCATATTTCACCGTCACAGAGTTGCTTCTGTTCTGTGAGTCTGTCGCGTGACTTCATTACAGCAGAATGTGCAAACTTTAGCACTGCGTCTGCAGATTCAGAAAGATTCGCAGACACTCTTTCCTGAAGATTCACTCACTCTAACGAGCAGAAGATTATTTTCACCTTCTCGGTGCATCACAATGAGATTTCCAGCAAGTTTAGACGTAGTCACACGTTCTGTAGATTGCTGCTGTATTAGTGATACTCCTGTTATTTATATTGTTTATTCCTGTAGGTTACGATAACATGCCATTTTTCAGTGTTAATCAAAATTATTGTTATTCAGAATATCCACTGGAACGTAAGTTTCATTTCATTTTAAATGGTGTGCAAACAAATTAATGATTTATTCTGCATAAAATAATAATAATAACATTTATTAGTATTACTATTATTATTTTTATTGTTATTATATTAA